CCCCAAAACCCCAAAACCCCAAAACCCCAATAATTTGCTATAAAAATGAGATTATTAATTATTAAAGAAGCTTCTCTTTATAATGGAAGAATTAAACAGATGATCTTCATGCTCCATCAGTCATGCTACACTTCTACGCTAATCAGGAATGAGTTGAGCTCATGTCACAGCAGTTACCTCTGTTTTACTACAAGATTGGAAATATCCTCATTTTTGAACATTAGAGCACCGAATCTAGATGATACTGAGTATTTTCTGGCTTTAGAGCAATTGGAGTCTAAAACCCGCCTCATTGTTAAGTTTGGTCTTGAACTATTACCATTAGCAAACATAGGTAAGTCATTATTGAATTGCTAGTCACTCAGAATCGAACCTTGTAAATGTAAATGAGTTAGATAGCTCATAAAAAATTCATTAAAGCTCAAAATGTATCTCTTGTAAGAATCAAATCAGAGGCGTTTGACAGAAGTCTTAGCTTGTGCTTTACAAATTTTATGTCAAGGCTTTAGAATTTTAACTACAAGTTTAGAGATTCCTAGATATGAATATTAGGGTATTCTCCTGGAAACTCAAAAAAAAATTAAACAGTTTTAAGCCTTGATTTTCGTTAATTCTGTAACCTAGATTTGGTAATATTATGTTAAACTGATTTATAAAAAAATCATCTTGTTAATCATTCAAATATAATCTAAGCTAGAAGTAAGTGATGTTTTACAGAAAATACCCATATTTACTAATTATAGCATTTTAAGGGAAAAGTTCCTAACAAAATTTAATTCAGAATGAGATACAAAAGCCTCTTTCTTTCTATGTGTATATTGATTATTAGCAGCCAGGCATCATCTAATATCCCTGACCGTAGTCTTGCTCTCCTGGTGATGATAAATCTAACTAGAGCTTTAATATTTCTGTGCTCGTTGTTTCTTTTATATTTCTACGAAATAAAGCCTTACAGCTCACAATTAATCTATTCTATGACTCTTTTCTGGAAATGCTGCTTGTTCAGTGCTACTCTTCCACTTTCCATTTTAGTGAAATCTACAGAAAGGAGAACCAAACTTCCTGGGAGGTACAATACTGAACCAGGATTGATTATTGCTCCCATTCGTGATCTCATTTTTATTGGGAATTTAGGCTATTTGATCCCTATGAGTTTTTATGAGGTTTATCTGATCCTTCAGAAAAGTGTTCATTGTAAATTTTCTCCTTCATTTTGTTAATATTTACCAAATGTTAGCATACAAAGATTGATGAAAGCTCAAGAAATTTGAGAGGAAGGCAAGAAATGCTAGAGGAGTTTACCCTAAGTACCTATGTGAAGCTGTTGGTTTATTTTGTAAATGCCCAACCTAGATAAACTTAAAGGTCAGATTTATAAAAAAATGTAAGCTAGTAAGGCAATTGATAAAATAACATTAAGATAAAATTATTGGGAAATTGATAAAAGTGATTAATGTTTTGAAGCCAAACGAGAAACTAAAATAAAGAAAAGTACTAATTTCAATTAATGGTTAGTGGTAATGAGATAATTTGAAAATCTTCAGCAAGTTTACAACCCATTTCAAAACATCATCCAAACAACAGTCTTTCAAAACAAATCCAAAAAGCTAATTTCAGTAAATTCTTTGACTAAACTTCTCCTAAACCTATTTATACTTAAAAAGAACAGAATTCAAAACCAAACTCAATCTCATCATTATATCTCGGGGTTTTGGGGTTTTGGGGTTTTGGGG